GCCACTCCCTCTCAACGTGCCGTACAAAGCAATCAAACGTAGCCTCCATCTACCTTTCTAATCAGCATCCCTGTACCCAGGAAATGGTCTCACTTCAGGGAATTCATATGTGTGGTAGTTTTCATAGTTGTGGTAATGGATTCTTTTTCCTGCAATATCTCCTACTGTCTTCTCAACTAATTACTCAGATATATCCTTCTCTGTACTTCTTTCCCCATGTTTCAGGGGCTCCCAAACAGAACTTCTCATTTCTCTGGGTTCCAATACATTTTATAAATACCATGGACATAACATTTATTTTTTCCTCTTGTCTCTCTTCACTAGATTGTAAATTCAGTAACTTAGTAGCCCCTGCACCTATAACAGCAGCTCTAATCTGCCAGTTGCTAAAAAAATGTTTTCTAACTTAATGTATTAGACAATTATGTGACCTTGTTTTAAGAGACTATGGGGAGAATTTTGTGGCGTGTTTCTTTACCCCTTGCTCTCGGCATCCCCCGTCTAAATCACAGGGCCAATTCTTCACTTGGTCTTTAAAAGCCTGGGCGTTCATGTGCAACCCCCAGCATCTGTGTTCAACCTCCCATCCCCCTGCATTGCTTTCTGAGGCCCTCCTCACGCTTTAGACTCACTACCATCCAGTCTTGTTTATTCCTGCCACCTTCTAGCCAGTGTTTCTAGACCCTTCTCACAGCCCATCTCTTTACAGATGAGGGAACCCAGGTCTCTCACCTTCCTTCAGCCCAGAAGGAGAGAGAGCCTTCAGGTCTTACATCTTCTTGGAGATCCTTTTCCTGTAGCTTTGGTTTCCCAGCCACTGCCCATACCTCACATACACAGCAATGAGTGTGGACCCTAGGGGAAGAGGCAGTATCTTCAGGGAGAAACTGTTGGCCTGGGCTCAGGAAGCAGGACTGGGCTGATTACCACTGGGGCCAAAGAAGCAATGGGAGTTGTTAAAAAGTTTCCAGTGTCTCAAAAACACACACTCTTTGAGAGGCATCCCTTGGGGGCCAAGAGTACCAAGGATAATGAACATTTCAAAGATCTGTAGGATGCTGGGTTCCCAGGCCAACATCCAAAAGGTCAAAAAGTCCCTTCAAAAACAAAAACATAAACAAAACCAGATGCTCTGGAAGTTTTACAAGAACTTCTTTCCTTAGGTCAGTGATTCTTATCCTTGAATCACCTGAAAAGCGTGTTGAACAACAAATTAGTGTGTCTCAGCCCCAGACATCTTCATCCAGAGGGTCAATGGGGAGGCCAAGCATTTGCCTTTGTAACAAGTTCTCAGATGGAGCTGCTGCTCCTGCTCCTGCGACCCCGCACAGAACCACGGACTCCCTTCCAGCACAGCAGGCTGTTTACTCTCATGGACTCCGCAATATTAACTGGTTTGATTTCTTTCTTCTCCTCCTCCTTTTCTTTCTCCTTTCCTCCCACTTTTAGCTTAACTGATCTTTACTTAGAGGAAGTCAGAGGTGTGAAAATGTTTGTATCTACGATGGAAATTTATTCCCCTGTAAACCTTGCCCTTTATTTTGCCAACCAGGCCCCCAGCGTGGATTCACCTTCCATAACCAAGTCTACTCACGCCATATATAAACTGTCAGCATTCTCTACATGTGAATTATTACTACCTCCAGTACAAGGATTGGTACAGGAAACCTGGGTATTTTCTCGTTATGAGAAATTGATCAAAACCAGAGTTAACTAGCATTGTAATCTAAATGTGCTGTAGAAATGGTCTGATTCTTCAAGCTCTCTTATCTACAGAGGGTTTCCGCGTTGGTCAGAATTTTTTCCTTGCAAAGGTTTATACTTGGCAAAATAAAGTATCTGCCTAAGAGATAAGAAACAATGTAAAGCTCCTCCACACATAAGAGATAATAGATTTTTAAAAAACACACTAATTCTTAAATTTTATTAAATGTATTGGGGTAACATTGGTTAATAAAATTAAATAGGTTCAGGTGTTGCTGTTACGGTTTTTGGTAGATGTGTTGGATGTCTATAATCAGCTGATTTTAAGCAAAGGAGATTGTCCTAGATAACCAGGTGGGCCTGATGGAGTCAGTTGAAAGGCCTGCGGAACAGAACCCAGGTTTCCCCGAGGAAGGTGGAATTCTGCGCTGCAGCTTCAGCTCCCGCCCGGGGTCCAGCCTGCCCTTCCCGATGGCCTGCCCTCCAGGTTTCACACTTGCCCGGCCAGTCTCACAACCGTGTATGACTGACTGTTCTCTTTGCGAAAATCTCTTACCATGTACAGGGTCTGGCAGGAGTAAGGCCTGCTTGAGTGTGGTTGGTGGGGTAATAATGTGGGAGGAATCATTTATTGTTTTAATTTGAGCATTTCACCTAAAATGTCATGTGGTGTGCTGGAGTGTGATATTGGTATGTTACAGAATTGCATGCTTATGATTTGTAATAAAAAGGGGCGTTATTTGTGCTGGACCTTGTATCTCCACAGCCCACTGGTCCTGTTTCTCCGGTGGGACCCTGATGGGCACATCACTTTCTGTGTGTCGCACATGAGGTCAACAATTTAGACAAGGTTGGCTGAGGTCTTTTCCTCCTTACACTTAAATCATCACTATGCTTGATTGGGAATACAACTGAAATAGCAGGATCTAGGTGTTCATAAGTCTGAGAAGTGAAATATTCTCTGGACCGGAATTAATTGACTATCACTGAAATAACTTACGGCCTTCTTTTGAGAGAGCTGTTTTTTGCTAATTTTACAAGTAAGAAACATAACCAAAGTGCATTACTTGACCTGATTGTTGAGATAGTAAGGATGCCTAAGTGTCTTAGTTTAATTTAGAAGAATAAATGGGCCCCAGCTGATGCAGCTCAGCCAAGCATGGGCCTGCGAACCAAAGGATTGTAGTTTGATTCCCAGTCAAGGCACATGCCTGGGTTGCAGGCCAGTTCCCAGCAGGGGACCTATGAGAGGTAACTATACATTGATATTTCTGTCCCTCTCTTCTTCCCTTCTTCTCTAAAGATAAATAAATAAAATCTTTTTAAAAAGTATAGATGGGAAGTAAAACATAATAATAATGATGATAATGATAAATGGGAATATGTGAAAGAACTAACGTTAAGTGAGCAACTACTATGTGCCAGGAACTTTACTGGATATTTTACAATCACACTACTGGTCTACACACCACTCTGAGGCATTATGGAAATTTCACAGCTAAAGAAGTAGAGGTTCATTGATACCTGAAAGGAATACCACCAACAGGAGTTAGAGCTTGAACTGGAACCCCGTGGCCTCAGGGTCCATCATTGTCCCACTACAATACTGAGGACAGTATCAGAGCACTGGGGATATTTTTTAAGGTAAGCCATTTTATGAACAACTTCTTTTTATTTCTTTTTCTCTAAAGTCTTTGTAGTGGAAGACATTGCAGCAACTCATTTAGGGTTAATAAATTTAGATTTTATAATTTATATTATTAAAAACAGCATGGCTTCAGTAAAAGATGTCTTAAAGTTATAAACTTTCCTGTATATAGCTGTACTCATTTAAATGGGGTATTTCTCAACAAATTCAGTGAAGAATCAAGCACCTCATCTTGTGGAATTAATGTGTGTACAATACATCAGAGGAAATTTTGCTCATATTTCTTCCCTTAGGGTCAACAGTATAGATTATAATTAGCACATGTTGCACCTGGAGAAGAGACAATATAGAGGATGAGAAGAGTATCATCAGTCACTTAAAGGAATTTCATGTGAAAGGAGGAAAAGCTGTTCCGAGGGGCCACACAGATGAAATAGGACACTGAGTTCATTTCCTCTCCCCTCACCCCCACAGGCCCACTGTGAATGGGGAGAAAAGTGTGAAATGAGAACAGGAAAGTTAAAGTCAGAGTTGCCAGGGTGGATTAGAGAGAACCCCAAAAGACCTATTTCTTGGGTGGGATGGTTGCTAGAAGGAAAGAAGAAATAAAAAGCTTGTATACTATCTTCTTAACTTTGAATCAACATGAGACAAGGCTAGAGACTTTTACTAATGGAGGCATACCTCAAAGGAGATGGAGAGAGTAAACAGAAATATGATAGAGACAGAAATAAAAACTAGGTTCTGAAACTGACAGGGAAAGAACAAGATTCAGGAAAAGCAGACATGCCACTCTGTGTGAGGCACTAGTCAGGGTGCTGGGACTGTTTACAAGTGACTAAAGCACAGTGTCTGCCCTCAAAGGGCTCTCATTCCCGGGCAGAAGTCAAAGGGAACACCCACAATGGGTTGGCCTTGGAACTGAACTCACGACCCCAGACCTGGAACACTAATAGATGTAACCCTGCCTTCTCTGACCTTGGTTCCTACCTACTCCTCCCTGTCACCCATGTCTTCCAAGTGATGTAAAGACTGTGTTAGGAATGTCGAGCAGTTTACAGCCTATTCAAGGAGTGTTTGGTAGAGAGAAAACATACGATGGGCAAATGTGCTTATGGGAAATAATATTTATGCAATGTTAAAGGGGAGATGACTTCTTATATACCAGAGTGGGTGATTAGGCAGAGACACAGAGAGCAGAAAAGAATGTGATTGTTCCAGAGTTAAGATGAACCTGTTGACTATTGCAGGTATATTGACCCATAAATGAGGAACCCTCGGGTTTTCCCTTGCAGGTGTGGGAAACCCTGAGTTTCCAGGCCCACGCGCATCTCCTGCCTGTAACCTTGGAGTCAGAGGAAACACATGCCTGGCCAATGTCTGCCACTCCCTCGCTGCCCATTACTGAGCAAGTCATTTCTATCTGAGTCTCCTCATTCATCAAACTGTTGAATATAAGAATAATATATGCATCGTCAGTTTTCTGAGAATGAAATAAAAGTGCCCACCACAGTATCTGACACAGGAGTCAGTCCATAGAAATATTAATTTAATCCTAATTGTCATACTCCATAAAGACTTCTGCTTTCACATGGGGAATCAAAAGTTTAGAGAGAAGTTTGTCATTTCAAGGTGACCTATTTAAAGTTCAGCTCCTGTTGCAGATCACTAGGCGCTTGCCTAACTTCTTCATGGCTGCCTTCATGTCCTGGTTCCTCAGGGTGTAGATCATGGGGTTGAGCATGGGGGTGATGACTGTGTAGCTGATGGACACAGCCTTGTCCATGGGGAAGGGGGTGAAGGGCCGGGAGTAGATGTAGATACAGGGAATGAAGATCATAGACACCACGATGATGTGGGTGGTGCAGGTGGAAGCTGCCTTCCTCCTTGCCTGTCCTGAGTGGGACCTCAGCATCACCAGGATGACCGTGTAAGAGACCAGAAGGAAGAGGAACCAGATAAGAACCAGCATCCCACTGTTGGAGATCATGAGGAACTCTAGGAGGGAGGTGTCAGTGCAGGCAAGTCTCAGCACTTGCGGAACATCACAGTAGAAGTTATCTAGGACATTGGGGCCACAAAAGGGCAATGGGAGCATCAGAGCCAGCTGGACAATGGAGTGGACAAAGCCCCCTGCCCAGGCAGCCACCACCAGCCCCACACACAACCGAGTATTCATGATGGTGACATAGTGAAGGGGCCGCGAAATGGCTATGTAGCGATCATAAGCCATCACCGAGAGAAAGAAGACTGTCCCACCTCCCAAGAGATGGAAGAAGAAGATCTGGGCCATGCAGCCCTGGTAAGAGATGGTCTTGGTCTCATGAAAGAAGTCCACGAGCATCTTTGGAGAAGTGACTGTGGAATAGCAGAGGTCTATGACAGCCAGATTTCGAAGCAGAAAATACATGGGGGTGTGGAGCTGGGAGTCAAAGGTCACTGTGACCATAATAAGGAGGTTTCCCACAACAGTGGTGACATAGACAAAGAGAAACACCAAGAACAGGAGTTTCTGGAGCTCCTGGGTCTGTGAGAACCCTAGGAGGACAAACTCTGACACCCGTGTGGTGTTCTGTAGTTCCATGGGCTCTTTCCCACATACCTGGGCAGAAACCTGAAAAACAAAAATTGTGAAAATTCCATTATTTTCCTGTAAAGTATCAGGATGGAGTTGATCAAAGTCATTATTCTGTGCCATTCTAAGATGAAACTTAGAAGAGCCTTCCATGGAGATAAACACATTTTCCAGGCTCTTACAGACTTACCTCCCTAACCACACCCGACCTTGTATTACAGGCCTATATGGGTCTTTTTCTCTTTGAACTACACTATCCTTGTCCATGGGTTTCATACCTGATTCATACCCACTGTGCCCAATATGTGCCTTGTGAACCATAAGCAACACAAATACAGTTGGATGCATCAGTGAAGAATAAACATGTCAGCCAGCAGCTGTCACCACACATATTATCAACCTGGGTGCAAAAGTCTTGAGTATGGAAAGTAGAGACTAACTGTTGTTAAATAAACACATAGATGCTTCCTCATGGCAGAGGTTTGAGGAAGAGAGGTGTGCACTAGAGGAAGCTGTCACGGACAAATTCAGAGACAAATGTTTAGGAAAACAGCAGATGATCTTGGCCATAATACAGCCTGGACAAAGACTGCCTCTCCCACTTTTCCACAGAAATGCTTCTCTAATGGCATCTGTCATCATGGGGCCCTCTGCACAGGGAGCTCAATGCAGCCCAGGGCAAATGCCAAATTTCCTTGAATTCTCATGTCTCCTATTTTAAAATTTATGTGCATTTTCCAATGTATCTCTAGACAATCTTTGACAGGGCTTTTAAATGTTAAGCATTGTGGCTTGTAAATCTTTGGGAAGTCCAAGGTGTTATATAAAATATGGGATAGAGAAGAAACATTTTCTTTTGTTTAGTGACAGGTCTAGAAAGGATTCACTTGAAAAATAAACCGTGTTAAAACTCATTCCCTTGGGTTACAGTTTCCCTAAATTGTCTAATTGTTCAGGAAAATTGGCTGAGTCCCCGCCTGGGCCCATAATGGAACATAGAAAGAGGACCCCTCCTTGTCTGCCACCTCAGACACAGGAGGGACAGCGGAGCCACACTGAATAAACACATAACACTTTTTTGTCTGTCAGCTTCTGTAGGCAAACAGAAATCAGAATTATCTCTATAATTACCTGTGAGGTGTTAGCAGTTCTCAGAATATTGCCATGTTCATCTCATCAGAAACTTGGATTTATCCTAAATATTTGTGTAAAAATGATGTTTCCAGAAGAGGCACTCTGTTTATTCTGTGGCTTCACTGGCTCCCAGCAGAGAACCATTTGAAAAGCATCTCCATGGGCAGCCTTTTGAATGAAAATGGTAGGATGATTTAGGGTTAGAATGGGCTCATCCATGCCCACTAGGGCAGGAAGCCCTGAGGCAGGCAAGAGTGGAGCAGACACTCCTGGACAGGCAGGAGAGAACTGGTCTCCCTAGACTGCCTCAAGGTGTTTGGTGGAATCCCACAGATCCCGCCACCCTATGACAAGAAGAAGAGGAGTGTGGTTCCTGCTGTCCTCCAAGTTGTATGTCGTGAACCTACATGAAAGTTTGTCTCCCTCGGGTGCCGGCTCATGAGGTTGGCTGGAAGCACTGGGCGGTCACGGCCACTCTGGAGAAGAGGAAGGAGAAGAGCCAGATTTACTACTGGAAGAAAAAGCAGCTCAGGAGGCTATGAAATAGGCCTGAAAGAACATAGAAGGGGAAAAATGTATGACAAATATTGAGGTCCTCCACACCCATGGACTTCTGTTCTGAGCCCAATAAAATTGTTAATTCCTTTCTTAAAAATCTATGGTTCTTCACTGTCTACAGGAAAGAATTCACACTTACGTGTGTTTTAGGGGGTTCCACACAACCTGGCTCCCATCTTCCTTTGCAGATCCATCTGCTGCTCTGCAAAAGTAGTAAAACATTTATTGTTAGTGATAGTAATTGTTGTCATTGTAGTTAGAAACATTTATTATTTACTATATGCTAGGCCCAATGTTAAGCATTATTCTGCTTAATTCTCATGCATTATTCTCATGCTTATAAAATATAATAATTACTATTAATTACCCCCACTTTACAGATAAGTGAACTGAGGCTTAAAGAGGTTACATAATTTTCCCCAGATCACACAGAAAATGAGTAGCAGAGCTCAGACTCTGAACCAGCTCTAATTAGTCCCAGAACTGCACTCTTAACTAGAATCATCTTTTCACTTGCTCCCCTCTAAGAATCCTTGGCTTCATGTAAACTGAGCTCCTCGGTTCCTCTGGCCTCAGAGTCTTTTGCCAGGCCAGTGCCCAACCTGATCACCTTCCCATCCTGTTCACCTATTTGAATTCTACCCCTCCCTCAAGGCCCAACAGTAATGAGCTCTTCCATACATTACATGTATTCAAGTATTTCCATAAGGATGGCTCTGTTACCTCACACATGCTTGCGCTTCAATGTGAATCTGAAGTTTAGTGCTACACAGTTCCTAGTGCACATATAAACTTTCTCATAGATGTTTCCCCAAAGAATGCCTGATATTTTCACAGTGGATGGAGCTCCAGGACAGGTCAGACCACTGAGAGAGGTGAGAGGGGATAGAGGAGCCACCCCATGAAAAGGGTTCAGTTTAAAGGACCTTGAAGGGCACCCAGGATTCTAATGCCCAGCATTACCAGCTTCATGAACCTAGAAGCATCAGCTTAGCATTGCCAGCATTCTTTCTACACACTCATAAGAATCTTTGGAAATGATTCTTCCACCTACCTTCACAGAGAATAGATTTAGAGGAATTCTAGATGGGAAAGACAACAAAGGGACATAAAGGAAGGACACGATATATACATAGGGTAATGGAAGGATTCCAGGCCCTTTCCTATTGTTGCTAAATCTTGCCTCTCATCTGTCCTGCTCTCAGAACATCAGTCCACATGAGACTAAGAGGGAGAAGGGGAGAAGGAATAAGTGGTTCCAAAAATAGAGGCAAATCTAGTTGGTGGTCATCTTGGGAGCATTAAGAGGTTTTATTAGACACAAGATTTAAGGAAGGATAAGATGGAGGTATAGCAATAAAGAAGGAGTGAAAACCTGAAGTGACTGGGAGAGGCAGCAGACAGGAAGAGGAGAAAGGTAGTGTAATAAAAGACTAGAAGGGAAACATTAGAGGGTAGGAAGTATGAGAGAGGCCCTGTTTTTTTCCCCTGGGTGTGGAAAGAAACTGTAGATTGCATGTTGTAAGTAGGGAAGAAACTAGTATCATCTATATTCTGCTCTTTCTCCCACCCTCAGTTCTAAATTCCACCCAATGCATAAGCCAATACAGATCAAAGCCTTATTCCCAGATAAAATGCACTGTTCCCCAAATCCTGGCCCCCACCATTCTTGCCCTGTGACTTCCCCATACCTTCCCTCCACCCCATGCTTATCTTACAATAGGCTTTGGCAGGAGGCTTCTCAGTGCTGACTTGTCCATAAGAAGGACACTGGCAGCATCACCTACCTCCAGCCCAAAGTGGCCAAGTGGACTTAGAGCCCCCCATCTTCCAAGCCACCCTTCTCCCACAGCTCCACTTTTCTGGCCTCTCTAAAACCAGGAACACATATAGGATTGGCCTTCAGGGGAAGGACTTTCCTCAGAGGACAAAACTTAGGCTTAATTTGTGAATTGAAGCTGGGCTCAGGCTGCTCAGGGCAAGAGCAATGGGAGTTATTAAAAAGTATGTGAGCTGTTGCATCAGATGCACCCTTATAAACTCTTCAGGGGCCCTGGTTATAGGACCAAGATGAAGAAAGATAAGAGCCCTTAAGGAAAATAAATTCTCAGGAAGGTGTACAAGAACTAAGTCCCCTGGGGTCAGCACCATGGACAGCGCAAGGCTCCTGCCTCTGCTACCAGCAAGGAAGTGGGAAAAGTGAGTTGTGTCCTAGGACATGGTCCAGGTCACACCCTTTACAGAGGAAACACAGAAGCCTTTTTCACATGTACGATTCTTAAGGTCTCTCTCACCCCAGCCCCTGATCTGTCACCCTTACAGCTGTAGAGACCTTCCCAATATAAATTGGCAAGGTTTACCTTCACGATATCATTTACACACCACAAAATGCATCATTTTAAGGTGCGCTGCTCAGTGGGCTTTAGCATATTCACAAGACTGTGAAACCATCACCAGCATCTGACTCGACAGCTGCATCACTCCAAAAAGAAACCTCATATTTTTTCAGCAGTCTCTACACATTGTGTTTGTTCCCCAGTCTCTGGCAATGACTAAACAACTTTGTGTCTGTCCTCATGAATTGGCTTATTCTGGATATTTCATATACATGGAATCATATAATATGTAGTATTTTGTGTCTTCTTTCTCTTAGCATAATGTTTTTAAGGTCTATCCATATTGTAGCATGTATCAACTTCATTTCTTTTTATGACCGGGTACTATTTCATTATATGGGTATACCACTTTTGACTGTCCATTAATCAGTTCTTGAACATTTGGATTGTTTCTACTTTTTGACTATTATAAACAATGTTGCTATACATTTGTACATAAGTTTCTGTGTAAACATATGTTTTGAAATATCTTGGGTTTATGCCTAACAGTGGAAGTACTGAGTCATATAACTCTTATGTTCATCCTTTGAAGGAACTGCCAGCCTGTTTTCCAGTGAATGTACCATTTTATATTCCCAGTAGCAGTATATGAGCAGTGATAATTTCTCCACATCATCACCGACACCTCTTATTATCTGTCTTTTCATTTAAGCTATCTTAGTGTGGTTGAAGTTGTATTTCATTGTGGTTTTGATTTGCATTTCCTTAATGGCCCCTGGTATTGAACATCTTTTTATGTGTTTGTTGGCCATTTGTATATTTTTTGGAGAAATGCCTGTTGAAGTTCTCTGTCCACTTTTAAATTGTGTTATTTGTTTGCTTTTGAATTATAAGAGTTCTTTCTCTATACTGGGTATTAAACTCACTAAATGTGTGATTTATAAATATTCAATATTTTCTCCCATTCTGTAGGTTATCTTTTCA